CGGTCAGGTACGGATCCGGAGAGAACCCTTCCCAGTTCCGCCCCCCCTGGGGGTTTCTCCCGAGCGGCCCGGCGACGGGGCCGAGCTGCACGTCTACGCCCTTGCCCCGAAACTCTGCACCCATCGCCTCGCCTCTCTTCCGCATCAACTCCCTCGACCACGTGGCGGCCGCGTTGATGCCCGCCGGGAACGCGCTGTTGTGGTCCGAGTACCTGACCCCCAAGGGGCCGTCCTGCAAGCAGAACCCGCGAAACCCCAGCCGCGGTACGCTGCCGGTCATGCCGATGCACACGTCCGCCTCCCAGCCCGTGCCGGTCGTCAGGTTTACTTTCTCCGGGAGGGTGAGGTTGCTGACGAACGCGCGAGCCTTGACGTGTGCTTCTTGCCAATCCCAACCACTGTCTTCGGTGCCGCCGGAAGCCCAGGGGGAGGGAAACCCGGAGAGAAAGGGCGTGTCTACTGATATCGCGATAGCTCCTGTGGCTGCCGCCAGGAGACCACCCGTGAGTGTTATTGTCCGCATGATGATGATGATGATGATGGGCGGGAACACTGATCGCGACGGGGTTTAAGTAAGAGAGAAAAGAAGAAAGGAAACCTAAACGTTGCGCCATCAATTTCTTTTTCAATATTTATATTTATCCAAAGGCATCATGTGAAAAGCCCTAGAACTAAACTAATTGCTGATCGCTTCCCCCCCCCCAAATAAGAAGGTTATTCTAGCTCTATTAGCCTCTACGCCGTCTATAAATTCACAACGTGTCGTAATAGGTGCAGGATGGTGGGTTTTTAACCGGGTACCTAATATAGGAACGTAGTGTTTTGTAAGGTCGTTAATTACTTGCCGGCTCGGGGGCGGGGTTGCTCCCGAGTTAGTTATGTGGGGATTTCAGAGAACCGGTATATATAGGCTGTGATTATGAATCATCGGCTCCTAATTTACATACTTGTAGAGCCGGAGGGCTTGTGAAAACCTATCTGTAATACTCTGACGACACTCAGCTACATAACTAACTTAAACTCGAACTATCAAGCACACACCTGATTATAAAGTGTAAATGATGACGGCAGGATGTATTAGTTAATTTGAATGCTGACACTCATGTAGGTAAATCAGATACATACCTTCAATGTTCTAAAAGATAACGCACCCAAGATAGAACATAAAATAAGACATCTGGCCATTGCAAAGATAGCCCACCCAGCCAACCCAGAATAATGATATCAACCCAAGAAAGACTTCTTAATCCCACCCAACAGCATGTTCCTCTTTTGCTTGTTCACATACTTGCTGGCACTCTCCGCCCACCCCGCACTCGCATCCTGCAATTTATCGCCACTATCGCCCAGGATATTCAGTCTCTCCGTCCTCTCGTTCAGCTGACGGGTGAGGTAATCCCCCCAACCTTCCTGGCTTGATCCTGCTCTTGCACTTCCTGCACCACCTGCTGCGGGTCCCAAACCCCTAGCCTGCCGCTCCTCAGCAGCAGCAGCAGCCAGCATCCGTTTACTCGGCGGCCTATCCGGTCCTCCTATCAACAAGTCCAGATCCGTCGGAGACACGTACTGCGTGCCCGAGAGCCACTGCACATTGCTGATGGTCGGTCTCGGTGGGATCGCGAGCTCCGTGTTAATCAGTATATCTTCACTGTTCTGCAGCCCTTTTCCTGTAGCCTTCCATGTGGATACGACTGTCATTTCTGACGGGCCCACCCAACCAATGATATCCCCTGTCCGGGCGACAACAGCGTCTGAGATCTTGCTAGCGTCAAGCATCGATAGCTTGCCACTCCCAATCTCTTTTAGTCCGGGCAGCGAATACGCTTTTGTGGTCCGGTCATTTAGTACAGTTACTAACGCAACCGTCCCACCAGTCTCTGTGGACAGATTTGATCCAGTCTCCGTGACCATTGCTGAAATCACTTGTACGCCACCGTTATCAATCGATCTTGATGCCCCTTTGTTAGTTGCAGGTTTGAAGATGCGTATCTCGCTTTGTGTCACTGCACACGGTCAGTTATTGTTCCCACACCCATCACCGGGGACAAACTAACCAGCAACAAGAATGCCATTAACCATCTTACCCGCCCTCAAACCCGCTATCACCGAACCCGTAGCAACCGCAGCATGTCCCGTATCCGCTACTATCGGACAGATCGCAATAACCTTGTCGTCCATCTTCGTCACTCCTGCAGGCTTCGTCGTGTACCCCTGCCCCTGAGGCAGAAGCTTAAAAGTAGCCACATGCCCGAGATTCGTCCCCACGAAGCAGGCGATACTCGAATAACTGTCTCCCTCAAGCGTCATGACTCCAAACTCAATGACCGTTGGCCACTCCGGAATAGTCTCCTTCTCTTTGTGTTTAAGGAATGACGACCGTTTGTCAGTCTTGACAAAATCCACCGTGTTTCCTTGGAAAATAATCGACGGTCCCCGGAGGTCGATGATGCTGAAAAATCCCAGCTCAGAACCAACAGCCACAAAACCGACGTCCGAGACCGACACCACCGTGACCGGTCCCTGCATCATCTCGTAGAGCACAAACGGCTCAAGTCCTTCTTGCAGGGTTGGCTCTGACCTGGAAGCAATGTTTGATAGCCCGCCAGGATTGGGTGGTATCGGCTTCCTCTCCCCTTCCTTCCCAAAATAGGGGTTACCACCCCAGCGATAGATAACCACCTCTCCCGTTCTCGTCCCAGCCGCAAACTCGCCAGTCTCTTCAGCCATGTCCATGGCCGTAATCTCCACATCCTCCATCCTGTCCAACGCCCTCGGGATATCGACCTGCAGCTGGGCAGGGTTCTCGATCAGATCTGTATGCCCAAGATCCCATATCCTCACGACAGAATCTGCGTGGGCCACTTGAATGATGTTCCTGCCTTCGTATCGTCTCATCGTCCTTCCGGCTTCCGCGCCTCCTTTGACCAGCAGTTCCCCTTGTCTACGCTTCTCCACCATCCCCAACCATTGAGCCCTATCCAGGGTAGCCACCTTGAAGCTCGTTACAAACGGGTGCACAAACGACAGTGATGGATGGAGCATGTTTGTTGGGCTTATCGGATATCCCGAGGGAAAGCTGAGGGTGATCAGTTCCCCTGAACTGAGCGTCGCCAGTATAGCCAACGGGTCTTGGGCACCGTTATAATACGGAGAATTCCTCGGGGTCAGACAGAAATCCAGCACCGCCGCTCCAGGTGGCACCTCTAACGTCTTTTTAGTTTTGCCCTCGAAATGATTCGTCAGAACGTCCCAGCTGCTGGTCGCATAGATTGGCGTAGGCCCCAGATCAAGGAACGTCAGTTTTCCCCGGTCAGGGTCATCTGTCGTATGCCCGCCCGCAATCAGCAACGCCGTATCGTCCGGCTTCGTCTCCTTGCAGCACCACACCACCTTTGTATACGGGTCCATAACCGCTGGCTGCCCTCCTTTTCCGCGTTCATTCACCCTCGTGTGATATAAGCTTCTCGCAGCAACGACCCTCCCATCTCTCGGATCCCAAAACACCATGCTTCCATCATCATGGCATGTGCAGATGAACGTCCCCGTGGGGTGCCAGGTCGCGTGCGTCAATCTCGGCCTTCTATCCCCCTTTCCTCCAACCACCAGTCCCTCCCCGTTCCCACCCGGCGCCCCCGGCGGGAGTACATACTCAAAGTATTTGATCGGCGCATTCTGTTTGAAGCTGTAGATGACCGCACCATGGGTATACCCAATCAGCAATTGCCCGATATCCCGGGGATGCAGTTGCATGTCGACTATTGCCATCCCCATGGCGTGCGGGTCCTTGTTCTTCCAGAAATTTGGCAACCTGAACGTGTGTGTCGCCCTCTCCCTGTCAAGGTCATATGCAAAGATCTCTTGTCCCGTCGTGCCGATAAACGCCCAGTCGAGCATGGGGTCGGTCACCATTACCACCGCGCCGGCGTACACGTGTCGAGCGATCTGTTCCCCGGTGTTGAGGTTCCATATCGCAATCTCGCTCTTGCTGTCCCTCGATATCAACCTATTCGCAACAAACGCCAGCTGTCGGATAGATGCACCACCACTGACACCACCACCACCACCAGTTATACCGGGAATACGGGGCGTTTGAGGGGTGAAGAATTTCTGGACGCGCGACTGCCCGAATACGTAAATCTTGCCGGACCCGAACTGCGACTCGTTCGTGCCGATTGCGAGGAGGGACTGGACTGGTTCGTAGGCTATACAACTACACCCAACACAAACACAAACACATTAGCACACCGTCAAATGGGGGACAAATTGGGGGACGGACCTGATCTGGGAGTTGATACCATAACGAGCCTGCTCTTCAGGCGTGAACAGATCCGGCAGGATACCACCTGACAGGTCCTTCGCCACGCCAGCTTGCTTCGCTCGTAAAAAGCTCGCCATTTTTTTTGGCCGACTTAACTCCCTATATGGTGTTTGTTGGCGTATTTGTTGCTGCTGACAGCTTGGGTTAGGTAGCGCGGGTAGATAGGTAACTGCAGTAGTGCGGGGCGTTCGTCCGGGGTCCTATGGGGGTCTGATAAGATAAGCAGCTGCGTCATCGCCTTCCCAGCTGCCGTCCAACTGCCTTAGCGTTCGGGAACAGCTGCTGTGTGTGGGATCGAGCACCCTGTTTTATCTGTCACTGTCAGACCCCCCTGTCATCTGTGCCGCCCACCACCACCATTGCGACCAGAACCAGCGTACTGTGGTACTGTACAGATACAACTTTAACACGCACGTATTCCAGCGAAGTAGCTAAAGTATCCGCGAACCCAATCAGCAATCTGGCTCGTATTCGGGAGAAATGCTTCAAATTTTGGTTTTGTTTTCGCAGTTCTCTTTCTCTTCACTTTCGGCCGCCCGCCTCGACAAAGGTCTCGTAAGTTGTCGCTTCCTCAGCCGTTGTTGTCCGTGCGCTTGCTGCCCAATGCCAATGCCTCACGCTGGTCGTTCTGCCATCGGGCCATACATCCAACAGCAACGCAAGCCTATGCATATGCATACAATCCTTTGTAGTGTAGTGGTTAACATATCGCGTTTTCATTCATCCCCCACAAGGACAATTAATCCGCGAAGCCCGGGGTTCAATTCCCCGCAAGGGAGTCTGTTGAGCTGTAAAGGTGTCTCGCTCTAATTTTTTTTTTGCCGTGTTGGCGATGAGGTGTGTCATTTACAGAATGAAGTTACCACACAACAAGCTTCCTCAATCCTGTCCATTGCCAGCCACTGTTCACTCGACACTTTTTTCCCTCAAGATACAACTAGTAGGCGGTGACTTCGACTCCATATCCGTATATGCTTAAGTTTTTAAATATCTTCTCTTATGCTTTTATTAATATGTCCTTTATTGAACGAGCGGGTTGGTAATTTACATGTGTTCTCGTGTTCCCCTCTTTTTCTTTATGAGAGCTGGGTTGGAAATTGGTTGGGAGAGAGGCCAAGACTATGGTTCTTTGAGGTTCTTTTGTTGCCAAGTACGTGAGTATAGGTGGGCTGCTGACGGGTGGGAGGAATTGTAAATAACGACATAGCTTTGAAGCCAAAGCCAAGATAAAGCAGTATTCGTGACGGGGAGGTTATGATGTTGCGAGATAGATTTTGTGGGCATACATGATATGAATGATGATGGTGACAAGTTCTCTCACACATTTCCCACACACACACACATATATATCCCCATACCTGGCCCAATCTTGGACAAGCTGACAAGTGACAAACACGTCAACACAACTATAAACCATAACCCAGCAGCGAACATAAGGTAGCCGAGTCACCGGACACAACGAAGCATAAGTTGCAACAAACCAAGTTCATGCACCATGCCCGGTAAGGTACTCAGTCATCATCGTTATTATTTCTCTCTTACTCTGACTTCCCCCCCCGATACATTAAACATTCTAAGCAGTAAACAGTCGGAAAATACCAAGTCCACTACATGACACGGAGTACTAGTAATCAGCACAAGAAAGCAGTCAGCCAATCTTTACATGATTCCGCGCCTCAATACATACTTACCTCTAACCCCAACTTCAACTTCTTCCCTCTTTTTTTTTTCTTCTCTCTCCTTGTCTACATAGTACATACCTACGTTGTCGCCAGAGATCTGAGAACCTTAAGTCATCACATCACACCAAAACTGGCAGCGCACCAGCGCAATTTCGTTCACAGCTTTGCACTTTTACTCCCTCCACGCTGCGTCTTCTTACCTAGTTTTCTACTGTAGTCCACCATCATAATCCGATCTAGTCTGGCCCACACATATCGGGCTTTCCCCCTCCCCTGGTATGAAGACATGGTGTAATAACTCACACATATCAAAAACTTGGGGGGGGGGGGGGGAGCAAAAAAAACAAGCCAAAGTATGTATGTAATGTACATTTCCAACATACATGTAGTAACCACAAGAAAGCACATCAGAGCTTCATGTTCGCTTCGCATCTATTTCCTCTGTTAGTATTATCCTCCAGGCTCCCGCGTGCGGCGTCTCATAGTCAACACTCGGCATACTCTAAACGCACTCGCATGAAACGAGAGCATGCCACGGTTTTTCTTCTAAAACCCTCGACTGCTGGTTAATCTTCAAGCTGATGTTTATCTTCAGCAGAAAATTGAGACCGCCATCGGTTCAGTTGTTAGTACTGGCATTATCAAATCACACATTCAGTCACATATCGGCAAACCCGTTTTTTAAACGCAAGACTGTATTTATCTAACTATGGACCTTTGCGGATTTCTGATTATTGCTATGGATATGACCGATCTCGCCAATTTTTAACTCCCTGTCCCTCATTCCATGTCTTCCCTCCTTACCCTCCTTGTCATTCCAAGCAATATCGCCGCGGTCATTGGCATCATGTTAATAGAAAATAAAACTGGCAGAAAAAGCCACTTGCTGTATAACGAGCGACTGTGAAAATCATCCTTGCATCGCCATTCCTCAACCCATTCTTGTCGGTGTCGTCAACTTCTTAGACGTACCACATGGTCCATGGGAAGATCTTCTTGGCATCCTCCTTGGCCTCACTACCTCCCATGGGCATCAGCGGCATCGGGGTCGCGTAGCGCTTAATGGTATTCTCGTCCGGGTCAACCTTGGCCATGATACCACGCTTGGGCAGGATCTGAGGTCGAATAGACTTGGGAACCTGCTCACTCGTCGGCACATTCTCATGATGGCGCGCGCGATTGCAGGCCAGATGAGCGTAATAGACCGCGGGATGCAGTGACACGGGAGTGGTGGAGCGGCAATACTGGTAGCATTGCTGATAGATCATCTTTTGAAGATCATCGGGTTTCATCTTGATCTCGTCGTGGATGACTTGGTAGTGCACCGGCCGAGCCGTACCCTGAATAGCCACATGCGAGCAGAGATAGAAGTCGTAGTGGAACGGATGTGTGACTTCACGCTCCACGAGGGTACCGGGCAGAGGGTTGCCGTTTCTGTCGCCATCATTCATCGGGAAGAAGCGGATGTGGTGGCGCTTGGTGCAAATGATGACGGTGATCTTTGGGCATTTTCCTCCCAGATTATTCTTGAACATCACCTTAAGCTCGCCGAGCTCGTACTCCATGACCTGGGCGAATTGGCCTTCCGACACACCGTCACGGAAATAGAAGACGTGCTGGGGCTCACACTTGTTCAGAGCCACCCACCGCTTGACAATAGGGCCCAGCAATTTGTGCGTATTGTGCCCAGACAGCACCTCAGTACGGTAGCCGTTAGACTCGACTCCTGCGGCATAGACTGCCGCGTCCTTGTCCATGGACACAGCCATGGCTGCCATCGATGCAAGCAGAGAGCCTGGCGAGGGATGAGAAACATCGACGCCAATCATCATGGTGGGCGCCGAGAAGAAGGCGGATTTGCCAGGAGGGGCATGGATTCGCGACGTCTGGCCTCCAAGCTTGGCGTTCACCTTCATGGCCACGTTCGAACAGTACTGGGCCTGGGCTTTTTTGACGTGGTGGGCCTGCACCATCTGCGACAGGCACGCCCAGCGGCAGTCAAGATTCTTCTTCATGCGCTCATAGATCCAACCAATCTTGTCCTTGAGGATAACGAACATGAGCTGGGGGGACATCTGGGTCTGCTTGCCACACTTCAGGTACGCTTCTGCGATAAGCTCGGGCTGTGGTTTCTTCGGGGGGAACTCGTAGATTTGCGGCGCCGCCGCGATGATGCCTCCATGACTCTGGTAGGTCTGGGAAAACACCTTGATGAAATTCTCCACCGTCGGCTTGTCCACACAACCATCTGTGATGACGAACGCCCAAGACTTCAGGGGTTGCTGGTTGGGCTTCACGAATTTGTGGCCGCGCAGATCCCAACGACCACTAACTCCGGGGTTGATCTTCTTCTTGTCGCGGAACTCAATCTCAGGGTTTCGCAGCACCATAGCCTGCACCTGGGGCATCGTCGGGTTCATGCGAAGGCCAAAACTTGTGAGAAACTTGTCGTCATCCCACTTCAGAAGCTGGACCATCTTTTGGATATCCTTCTTCCGCTGGGGCGGGCGCTGGACTGCAAACTTGATCATTTCTGAAGTCTGCTCCGGGTCGAGCTTGAACGGGTACGGGTTCCACTTCTTGACCCTGCACAACTCGATTGGGAAGCAGCCATCCCGGTTCGTTTGGATCAGGGGGAACAGCGGGTACTTCAGGGTGATGTTGTACATTTCCTTATAATACTCCGCGATGCTGTACTCCCTGGGAGTCCCGTCAGGCATCTTCTTCTCGAACTTGACCGACTTTGCATGGGCACCCTCCCCTCCGTACTTCTCGTCGAATGTGAAGCTCTTGACCTTGTACTCCTTATCGACCACCTTGTTGCGATATGCAATTTCGAATCGGATCTTGTGTAGCTTCTTGAGAAGCTTAAACGCTTCAGATTGCTCCCAGTGGTTCTTCTGGCCGTCCCACACGGGCCTCAACGCCTTCGCCAGCTCGTGCATCGAAAGCGAGGCATACTTTCTATCGACGCATGCGAAGTAGCTTTGAATGAGAGCTTCAAAGCTTTGAGGGATGAAAAACGCCTGGTTCGAAACGTCGACATTGACACCGAGGCCAAGACCTCCCTTCACGGCAATAGACTCGTTGAGGCGAATGGATGCATAGACGCCCTTGATTGCCTCGGTGTACCTGTTCAGGTTCTTTCTCTCCGCATTCTCGTCAAAGAAGGTACGCTTGAGCATGTGCATGCGCGACGCTGGACCTTGGCGAAGGACGTGATCCAGGAAGCTCATGCACTCAAGCACCGTGTTGTCCCAGCTCATCTTGCCAGTGAGGTAGGCTTCCAGAGCCTCCAGGTGCACCTTGTTGACGGTTCTGATTCTCATATAGAAGACGTTGTCGCCTCGACTAGGCCGTCCCTTGCCCTCGTCCAGATCAATGGTGATCCGCATCTCCGGGATATTCGCCGTACACCAAGCAAGTCGGCGTCCGTCGTAGATCCAGGGCTGAAACGGCTTGATTGACTCGAGCTTTTCCCTGACCTTCGCAGAATCCCAGAGTTTTTTCCAGACAATATCCTTCTCCGGCTCCGGAGTGCAGCTGACATCGTACTGGTAGACGGTGATGTTGCTCAACTGAGCCACCCGATACTGGTTGACCTCAACCATGATCTTCTTGCCGCCCGACGTGTTGAAGCCTGGGCGACGCTCATAGAGCGTCTCGCGAACTCCCAGGAAAGCCTCTGGCGGGAGATCAACACGCTTGTTGAGACCCTCATCAGTTTTCTCGATGTTATCCCTGGCAGGATCATACCCAAGGCTGGGCGGAAAGGGACTGGCAGAGGAGGGTGCGTTGCCCGCAGGCGAGCCAGATCGCGGACCACCCTGCTGCGGGCCCGGACGGCCGCGGGATGAGGACCGCTCACCAGAGCCAGGGCCGCGAGGAGAATTGCCGGACGACATGGTGTCGGATTCACTGGATGATGACGAATTAGTAACAGCTCGGAACTTTAAATGGAATTCTCATGCAGAGGAAGCAGCAGGCATTTGATGAGCAGAGGTGCTGTGACGGTTGAAAGTATGATACGGAAGGTGGTAGTTGGAGGGACGCGCAAGGAGACTGCTGAAAATCATAGACATACGCAAGTGGTTGGT